TGGAAAGGAAAATGGAAAGGAAAATGGAAAGGAAAATGGAAAGGAAAGGAAAATGGAAAGGAAAGGAAAATGGAAAGGAAAATGGAAAAGAAAGGAAAGGAACTGCTTGTGACAAATACAAAGAAGCATGTAAAGAGCTTCATGACTGATACAGAGTGAATTAAGCAGTACCAAGAGAACAATAAACACAACAACAACAGTGTAAATGGAAAAAAAACACACTAAAAAAGTGTATGTAACAAAATTGTAAAGGTCAAGCAGGACTCAAATGAAGAGATATGAGAGGACTACAACCCTCCCCAACTACTCCCTCATGGAAGTAGAAGGATTCAGGGTATTATACTTTGCATATAGTTTTTTTTGTTGTTGTTGTTGTTTTTTGTTGTTGTTTTTTCAGATTTTTTCAAATCTATTGGGGGGAGGTTGTTTTTAAAAAATATAATTGGATATATTTTTACTTGGAAGGGGATAGAGGAGGAATGCCATAATCATGTGAGAAACAAAAAATTTCAATAACTAGTTGCATGATAGATGAATATATAAATATATGAATGGATAAATGAATGAAAGTATTCCCGGAATTGTTCTTCTGTTCAATCTACATTGTGCTTTTATCACCATCAGTTCCCTTCCTTATCCTCTATTTCTCTGTGTGGTCTCTCCCACTCCAATTACAGTGTAAGCTCCTTAAGAGCAAAAACCATGTTGTTTTCCATCTCGGTATCCCCAATGCACAGCACAAGACCTTGCAGGTAGCGGGGGTTTTATAAATGTTTATTGAGCTCAAATCATTTGAAAATGTTTATTGAGCATGTCCTGTGTACAAAGCTCTCTGCCAACACAGTGGGGGATAGAGATATGAATAAAGCAGGATTCCAGCCTTCAAGATGAAGAAGACTGTGGAAAGCCGGAAGTGAATAGATTGTTTATGTGGAATGAGAGCCATCTTAACCAGGCCAGAATGTCTGCTTAGGAGCTGTTAGACAAGAGCACATTAGAAAAGATGAAATAAGAAATTTTCATCAGTTGGTATGACTATAGTGACTGCCCCAGAGTCTCATGCCCTCTCCCTCTAACCTGCCCAGGAAAACAAGAAAGGAAGGAACAGAGAAGGACCAGTCAACCTTCTCCATAGAAAAATATCTCTTTATACAACAGTGGTCTCCTAAAATAGAGCCAGCACCCCATAGTGGATCATGTTCACAAGGTTTCAGTGCCTTGACCCCAGACTACTGTGGGTTCATCTCCAACAAAACCATCTTCCACAGCCCCCACAACTGGCTTTCAGTGGCTATACTGAGTTCCAGCCCCTTAAGGCTTCTGTAAGCAAAAAACACAGAAACCTGTAGATGCTCACTGGCGAATTTCCACACCAACCACTTCCCTCCAACATCCTCACAAACTATCTCTTTCATCATAGCAGTAGGCTCTGTTCAGTGTGGAAACCCTCTTACTCGATCTTTTCCCTGCCCCACACACATCTTTCAATTTCAATAGGAAAAGAGTGAGTAGCACAGGATAAGAAGATAATTTCAACTGATTTTCTTTCCCCATCAGCCCTTCCCACAACCCATCTCTTCTCCAAATTTGCCTGTTTCCATGGAAGGAAACACCATCCTTCCAGTCTCCCATTATCTCAGCCTCCTCCTTATCCTTGATTCATAACTCAATTAAAACTGGTCTCTTCAAAGACCAAAATCTCTTAATTGACAAATCTGTTGGTCTCTTCTCAATCTTAATCTTTCTTGACTTGTATGCAGCATCTGATACTGTTGACCTCTCTCTCCTCCTGGATACTTACAATCTCCTCTCTGAGTTGGGATAACATTATTTTCTCTTGGTTGTCCTCCTACCCATATCACCACTCCTAAGCCTCCTTTTCTTCCATATTATTGCCCCTATATGTGGGTGTTCCCTGGTCCTGTTCTGAGCCCTCGTCTCTCTGAATACTCTCTTATTTGGTGCCTTTATCACTTCCCATGGCTTTAATTCTCTTCTCCATAAAGATAGCTCACAGTTCTATATATACAGCTCTCATATCTATCTCTATGTCTCAATCTCTCTATCTCTCTGTCTGCCTCTGTCTCTTGCTGTTTCTGTCTCTCTGTGTCTCTGTCTCTGTCTGTATGTATCTCTCTCTCTCTCTCACACACACACACACACACACACACGCACACACAATCAAGACTCGCCTCTTTATAACCAGATGTTCCAAAGCCATCTGAAATACATGTCCAAAACAAAACTAAAACCTAAAACTAAAACCTAAAATTAAAACAAAACCTTTACCACCTCTGAACTTCCCAATTTCCCCTGAGCATGTGAATATTTTTCTAGTCCCTAGGCTTTCATCCCTGTTATTATCTTGGGTTTCTCACTATCCTTAGTCCCACACATCCAATGTTACCAAATCATTCCATCTCTACAACAACTTTTCCTATCTGTCTCATTCTGTCCACTCTCATAGCCACCACCTAATTGAAACCATGGTCATCTCTCAACTGGACAATTGCAGGAGCCTCCTAATCCATCACCCTGCCTCATATCTCCCCTGTCTAATTTGTCTTCCATGAAAATCACAAGTGATGTTCCTGATGTGTAGGTCTAACCATATTACTTCCCTACTCAATAAATTCTAGTGACTCCCTACTGACTCATATATGTAGGATCTTTATCTCATCCTTTTCTAACCTCTATCTTTTGCCTTATCCTTCTGCCTCTTTCTATGCTGGTCTCACTGACCCCCACCTAACTATAACCAAAACACATCATAGAGGGCTCTGGACAGAGTGGACACTTGACTGGAGTGCTGAATGAGTGAATGAGTTTTTGCTATGAGTAAGTAGTCTAGTAAATGTTTACAGAGTTGTCAGTGGCCACAGTCCAAACTCTGAGGCAGGATGGAGAGTGCTAAGAGGAAGGTGAGTGTGTCCCCCAACCATTCTCAGGACAAAAAATCCCTAAATCTAACCAAGCTGAGTGTCAGCACTTAGCCTGTCACCTATAATGCCATCAAAAAAGGCTGCCTTCCACTCTGGAGGAATGGCTCCTGGGGGACCTGGAGGAGCTCCTTGTGGACTCCCAGAGCAGACTCTGGTCCCACCCCTTCTTCCTGCAACGTGGACTCTTGGTGTTGGGCAAGTTTCTGGGAATTACTACTTGAGGGGGTGGGAACTCTCAGCCACCTCAGAGTCCTCCTGGATCTCTATATGGAGCTTCTCAGCCTTAAGAACCAATTAGGCTCAAGAGCCCTGCAGTGGACAGATTGAACCAAGAAACAGCTGGCATCTGGAGTCCCATAGACCAGAATACACTTATCAATGTCACAAAGTATGTGTATGTGTTTCTCTGATTCTGTATTATGGGGTATGTTTAGAGCACAAAGGGGTTCTTGACCTGGTGTCGGTGCACTTGTAGTTTTTAAATATTTTGATAACTGTTTTAATATGGTTTCCTTTATAATCCCATGTATTTTATTTTATGCATCTGAAAACATGATTCAGAGAATGAGTCCATAGGTTTCACCAGACTGCCAAAGGAGTTCAGGATTTAAAAAATTGGTTAAGAATCCCTTGTTTAGAGGTTCTGAGTACATTTCTCTGTGCCAGTAATATTCTGTATGTATGGATTTACCTCTGTATTTCTGTGGCCCTAACTATTGTAATGAGTGAATGAATGGAGGTGGTCTGAGTGCTTGTTTGTGCACCTCAATTACAATATGTGTATGTCTAGAGGATATAAGTTGTGCATTTGTGTAATCAATACAGGGATAGGGGCTGAGGGGAGGGGTGAGGTGCCTGGGTAATATGTTTCTGTGCCAATAGAAATTTTATACAAGGATTTATTGATCAGGTACAGGTTGCAATAGATGGTTCCTGTGGTCGCTACCAATAAGAGTAAGGACCTATTCTCACCTCCCAGATGGCAGATTGGGGTGGCAGCCCTAGGGGTAAAGCAGGAATGTGGGGACCTCATCTGAGGAGATAAACATCAGCTTTATACTTTCTCCTACAGAGGCTTCAAAATGAAGATTATCTTTCTGCTAGCTGCACTAATGGCCTGTGGTAAGAAGTGACCACATGACTGACCTCTTCCCAGAAATCAGCCCCAGGAAGGACAATTCTTGGGTTGTATAAAAAGTGCCTCCCCCAGCATCTCTTGGGCTCCCTAGCGC